AGAGAGAGAGAGAGAGAGAGAGAGAGAGAGAGAGAAATAACACACGAGCAGTGTCTGATTGGACGGCGACTCATACCGCCCGGGTCGTAAAAAAATATCACAATCATTTTGTACGACACGCGAGTGAGTCGGGGCAAAGGCTTTGAGGAGATTGACTGGGTGGGAGAGGGGGGGGGAGGGGGGAAGGGGGGGGGGGGGGGGGCAAAGAGAGAGGGATGGAGGTCCATGTCCCCTGGGACCAAAGGGGTGAGGGAGGGTCACCACCGCCTGGACCCGCGGCGCGGCACCTGGCGACGCAGCACACGCTGTGCATGTCCAGCATCGGCACGCCGATTTGTCCACAAGCGGGCGGGAAATGAAAAGAAGAAAGGGGACAATCGAGCAGTTGTGCAGGTTACCATACTTTTAGGATTCAGGCTTTCAGGCTTCAGGATGATTGAGAGACGTTCAAACTTTTGGCGCGCTGCCCCCGCTGGCCGCGCGGCGCTTGTCCCCTTCCGCCATTCACCTGCGCCGGCAGCGCTATCCCGCGGCGGCGGCGCGAAGCTCCGCAGTCCGGAGTGAGTGATGGGGGGCGACAGGCCGAGCCGACCCTCTGCAGCGCCGCCGCCGCGCCGGCCGGCAGGCCCGGGCCTGGCCGCTCGCCGGAGATTGTTGTTTACGTTTTCGCGACGCGCGTTTTCTTTTCGGGATCGTTTTATTTCGCGAGTGTGTAGTGAATTCGTACCCTTTGCCAGTGCGCAGGTGAACCTAGTCTGCAGGACGACAGTGCAAGATAGTCGGAGCCGTTGTGTGACAGACCGTTGTCGTGATTCGCCTTTATTTCTGCTGCTGTGTCTCCCCGCCGCCCGCGCACACGGCCGCCGCCGCGTCGGCCCGCCGGGTCAGCCCTCGGCAAGGATTCCGATCATTCCGATCTTGAAATAGGTGAGTAAATTGCCTTTCTGATGAAGAGGCGGTGGAAGGAAAGTGCGAGAGAGACAGCGCCATGCCCGCTGGGCAGACGGTCGCGGTGTCTCGTCTCAGGCACAACATGGCGCAGTCTGCTGTCTCACTCGCACTTTCCTGATAACGCCACTGTTCTGTTGACACAAATGTTGTACCCCCCCCCCCCCCCCCCCCCCCTACCTCCGGCGCCCAGCCCAGCCAGAAAGTCCTACATTATTATTGTTGTAGGTATGGACAGACAATCAGCTGATCGGCTGTTGTTGTAGTTTCCCGAGCGCGGTGTTCCGCCGCTTTCGGCACTCGCACGAACCCTTTATGTTCCAGTTTTGTATTTTGTGTACTTTTCCTGCACTCGCTTTGCACTGGCTCGGCACCTGCTCCACGGCGCCCGCCGGCCCCAGCAGGGACCGGCCGCGCGTTCGCGTAACAGGCTTTGCCGTATTCGCACACACCCTCGGTGCGGCGTGACCGGACCAGTTTGTGGTCACGCTCCTATGTCAAATCGTAGGCACCAAAACTGAGCCGCACTCAAAGTGTTCAAAGGTCTGCTGACGCAGTGTGATATGTTGTTTGTGGCCTCTTTTGAAAGAAAGTGGGGTGGTGGACGAATAGTGTACTCCGGGGCTCGGCTAGACCGGAAGGAGAAGAACAAAAATCGTCGGGCCGGTCGGGCGCGGGGAGGAGCGGGGTAATGCCCCCACCATGCCCCGCTTCTCCCCGCGCCCGACGATTTTTGTTCTTCTCCTTCCGGTCTAGCCGAGCCCCGGAGTACCCTATGGCGGGGGTGGCTTTGTCCAACTCTCGTCAAGGGGTATTTCGCTAAATGATGCATTACGGTAATGCTGAAATGTAGAGGAATGCATGGAACAAGAAAACGGAAGTCACCATGTGAAAGCATCTTGATTTCCGTTTTCTTCTTCCTCGCTTTCTTCTGCATTTCCAGCTTCACCAGAATGGTTTATATTATGGAGCCGGACGTGTTCGGTGCAGCAAGTCCAACCGCCCTTTTTCGGGGGCTGCGACTCGCAAATTATCTGTTTCCAGTTTGGTTCCTTTCTTTCCCAAATCTGTTTCCGGTTTAGTTCTTCTCTCCCCCACTTGCCTTGACGGAGTCGAACGCCATGGTGATGCTATCCAAATTTTCTAGTTTCCCTCACCCCCCCTCTCCCTCCCTCCAAATGCCATAACTGCCCCACCCACACCCTCGCGACTCGAATCGCTTGCTTGCGTCGTCCTTGCAAACAAGCCGTTGTCGAGGTTTACGGAAATCGCAACGCTTTTCCAGTGTACATAATGTGTGAGCTGTCTGCCCTTTCCGCCCGCCGGCCAGACGCGGGCCACGCGAGGCTTTCGGAATAACAAGTGTTACACGTGTCATTTTTTTGTGTTTTTCTTCAAAATTATGCAAACTTGGGAAGGGGGAATGGGTGTCCTACAAGGTGGATCGTAGCGGGAGCAGTGAGGGTGCAGCCAGTCTGTAAATTTCCCGCTTGTCTGATCGCCTGTTCATTTCAAACCATAGCAGCTCGCATGCATTATAGTGAGGGGAGGGGCGGGGGCGGGGGGTTGATGTTCACATGTGAGGGGTATCTCCAATGCCGTACAATAGTTAATGTCCTCCACGCTCGGGGTATCTCTTGCATTCGACCAAGGAGCCTCTTTTCCCCCCTTTTTAACGCATCGCGACACATGCGTCGTAGTTTGGGGAGGCGACGCCAGAGCTCGCTTTTTGTGGGATGAAAAGCTAATAGACGCACGACTGCGCATCGGAACCCTCGTCTCATGCCGACTTTTATGGAGCGTCTTGTGGACGTAGTTCCGTTGTCGGGGCCCCGAGGGCGCTGGCGTCGCCTGGAATCTCGTCGCGTGCTTTGCAGAAGTTAGTTGATGGAGAGCCTACCCTGTCCTTCCCCGCCGCCCAAGGACGGGGGTATCGGCGCGCATTCCACAAGAAATGTGCAGACGACGCGTCAGCAGCGGTGTCTGTGGATAAATTTCTGGTTTGTTTTCCTGATCAATCTGGTCGCAAATGCAGTAGTACACTACGTGTACGCGTGAACTTTCGGGCGAAGGTCGACTTTTTCGTATCATATTGTGTGTGGCGAGGAGCGTCGTATGGGACATTTTACGTTTTGTTTTTCCTTTCTGAAATGATTTTGTCGCCACCTGCCGTTGATCCGGCCGCCATCACACATACCACCTCTATCTTTCCATTCTCATCATACGACCCCCCCC